GCCTGGGGTGGGCTAGGCTGAAGACACAGTGTGGGTCTTCCAGTGGGTGGCAGAGACCCAGCTACATTAGCAAGAAGGTGGAATTACTCTAGATATGCATTAGCAAGATGGTAATCCCAGGCAGTGTCTTTGATTGCTGTGCCAATTGCACACCTCATTCCTCTACTCATTCTGTTTGCTGTCAGAAAGAGCTCTCAATTCCTGTGGGCTCCTTAAAAACTGTAGTAAGGTAATAAATATCCTTGGGTGATTAGGATGTTTGGCAGTACTCTTTGCCACACCTCTCTAGTGCTAAGACTACTCTTTTGTTTCTGTTTTTGTTTCTAACCTAAATGTACACATTGTAGACCAGTGTGAGTTTGACACTTAAACATTTTATAAAACAATTGTAGTTTAAATGAGACAGAGCACACAATTTGTGGTCATTAGAATTAGAGTGACCTCAGAGTTCTGTTGGATGCCATGCCCTGTGTTTGTTACTCCTTTTGGATTTGATTTTGAGGTTAGGAATGTTGGGAGCTGGCCATCCGACAGGTGTCCTTAGCCTTCTGAATCCAGCTCCCTCCTCAAGGCATCTGGCAGTTGGGTCATGACACAGCCATTTCTCATTTTAGTCTGGTGACTAAACTGTGGCCCAGTAAACCATGCTGAACAACTCTACACCACTCTTCACTTCCTTGCTGGTTTCTTTGGTTCTAGCCTACTGCTGGAACCATTGTTCAAGAGATCAAAATGAACTTTAGAATTCCAAGTTCTGTTTGTAATGAAAGTCAGAAATACCAGTATTGCCCAGAAAACTGTGTGGCATGAGATCAAAGAAAAAAAAGTCTTTATGTTATTAATAATATATTATTTGTACATCATGTAAGAGACATTCTTTATAGTTTCAATGTTTCTATGGGTTTGTTTCACCCACCAATACTGTCATTGGATTTATTGCCATTTTGTCTCACTATTTTCAGGTGCCTTGTGTACTCCTAAATGTGGCAAATGAAAATGTAATTTTTCGCTGAAAGAGATGACCGCATGAGTTGGATTTCCAGTGTTTTCCATGGACAAGTTCCATTAAAGTATTCAACTAATATTCTCTTCATGACTGATTCCCTGGACACCAGCTAATGTGTGGCCATATTTGTTCCTGTGATAGATTTACAGGCCTCATTATAGTTACTGTTGCTTTCCAGGATTAGAGGGTTTGAGCAAGAGGAATAATAGTTTTCTAAATACCTCTTTAAGCCCTAGCTCATTGGCTTGTATGAAATAGGTATTTAATAACTATTCATTGAGTTAATTAGTTGGGAAATGTTCTTGGACATATTCCCATCCGGGCACTAATAGAAATATAGGTACTTAAGTGTCTTTCATACCAGCTGGTTCCATTTCTCTTTCCCTCCTAGTTTATGTGATAGTAGAATCCTTTCTCTAGCCTCATCGCCTCTGGTCATCAATCTCAGTATTTCAATCACATTAGACCTGAATGATTTTTAGGAGTGTAAACCTGGGCAGATTATATAAACTTTTGGTATCTTGGTTTCCTTATAAAGTGACAACAGTACCTACCTTATCAGATTGTCTTAGGTATGTGAGATAATACATCTAAAACATTTACAGTAACTACCACTCATGTCAGAACAGCACTATTTCAGTTGCAGCCATTGGTTAGCTATGGATACAAAATCAGTGAAAGCATTCTGTAAGCATTAGGTGACTCTATGGGATTTACAATAAAGCATATATTGCATATATGCATACTAGATGAAAATTGTGTGCTACATATGTGTGTTAGTAATGCAACAACATACATACAGATACATATGCACACAATATTTTTGTTGCTTTAAATATTTACCACTGGGTAACTGTGCTTCCACTTTTGTCCCTCAAGCTTATAGATGAGCCTCTAGCATATGGATAGTGTCTGGATGTAGCTTGTAGCAGATGCTGTTGGTATCCTACCCAGATCTCCTTTACTGGGCCAGTGCATCCATCTCCCAGCTGCTTCAAGTATTGGCTGCTAATGACTCACACCTGTACCCTTCTCCAGAGGCCTGCTCTTGGCTGACAGTAATTGCCTCAACCAAATATGTTTGAGAGATTATGAGATCAGGCCCCAACCCCCTCCTTTTCCCCAGGGGTGGCTCATGGCCAATGACTATACAGGGGTGTAGCAGCCCAGCCCCCTTGCCTCTGGACTGGACAACTTCTGTGGTTTAACCCACATTCTAGAGTTCCTCCTGGGAGCAAGCTGAGGCTAGATTGCTGAAACCATATCTTTGCTTAGTTTTTTCCACTATTCTAGTTTGTTTCTTTCCTCCCGACCCCTGGCTTTCCCTCACAGCACTCTGTTGATCATCAGGTGCCCAAGAAATGCTATCTGAGTCAGGCTGTGCTCCTAGGGAACCTGACCTACATTGCTCCCAGCTCAATACCCCTGTTGTTTCCTTAGTCCCACCATCACTTATGCAATTTGTCCTCCATAGTAAATAATCTTCAGCTTAAATTTCCTCTCTATTTTTGTTTTTTGTTTCAGACCCTACCTTGATATATACCAACCCTCCTCATAGCTCATTGCCTTTGCATATTTAAGTTTACCAACCTTAGAAACTTTGCTGTTTCAATGTAGCATCACGGTGAATATCCTAAATTTTAGGACCTGAATTTAGTTTCAAACCCTGATTCAGTAACACCCCCTTCCTTGGATTCATATGAATTATATGAGCTATTCTTTTTTAAAATGCTTAGCACTGGGCCTGGACTAGAGGAGGTGCTCAAGAAATGTTAGCTCCTTTGTACTGCTAAGAAAGTTTGAAAAGATTTGCTCTGTGTTGGATGAGATGCCTGATGTCTTGCTCCCAGAGCACCTAGTGAGTGCCTCTGCAACAGTGATGATTATGCTGCATTACCACCTTTGAGTTTTCTATTTCTCCCAGAAAACACGAGCTTCTCAGTGCCACAGAGTAAGGTGTTGGCTCCCTGTGGGGGAGGAAAAGCCCAGATAGGTAGTGTTTGCAGATTTCCATGGTCACACTATTCCCATCCTGGCTGATTTCAAGCCACCAATATGATATCACTGATCACAGAGTTGAGAAGAGATACACACAAGTGGCTATTGCTAGCTACTGAAAACCAACTACGGCCACCACTGTTTATATCCCTAACACTTAGCATAGTGTGTCAAACATAGGAGGTAGATGTTCAATAAATGACTAAAACATAGTTATTAACTGGTGAGGACTTGATCACATGTAGTTCATTGGTAAAATTCCTTCATATCTAGTTTTTATTATATACCATAAATACCCCTCCCCCACATACATAGCCCAAGATGATTGCTCATTTGATTCATGAACAAATACCATGAGTTAAATAAAAATAGTCATCATGATGTAATTGGAAATGTACATATTCCTCCTGGCAGGTCATCCACTACCTCAGATGCCAGTCCCGGTTTTGTGACAATCTAAGACATAGTTGAGAACCACTCACTTCACCTCTTTCAGCCTTGGTTTCCTCAGAGTGGGACTGGACAGTTTCTGGAATCCCTTTTTGCTTCAAAATATATTTCATGTCCTCATTCCTGGGATGTACTTGGGGTTATGCTATGCTAGATGTTGGAAATGCAAAGAGGAATAGGAGGTGTTCTGGCTGAGGAGAACCACAGTGCCTGTTCTAGAAACATCTTGTTTCATGGAGGCTGTGAGTGTGATTGCTCCCTATGAGTTACAAACCCAGGGGATTTAAACAAATGTAGCAAAGGCCAAGGTGTAGTTGTTCACAAATCTTAGCAACATGACCATAAAATTGTGCTAATAACTCTAGGTCAGATGAAACAAAGCTTTCCGTATCAACTGGCAGTTTGTCTTAGTCCATTTTCTGCCCAGAATATCACAAAGTAGGTAATTTATAAAGAATCTTCTTCTTTCTTTTTTTTTTTTTTACAATTCTAGAGGCTGGAAAGTCCAAGATCAGGGAGTTACGTCTGTAGGGGTCTTCTTGCTGCCCCATAATGTGGTGGAAGGCATCACATGGCAAGAGAGTGGGAGAGTAGTACAAGCCAGGGTGTGTCTTCTCCTTTTAAAGCCATTAATCCCATCACGGGGTCCCCTCATTCAGGACCTCTTCTGACCCCCACCTCCAAGTACCATTAAGATGAATTTGGGGATTAGGTTTCCAACACATGCATTTTGGGGAGATATATTGGAACCACAGCACCAGCTCTATTAGAAAATATCACCATGCTAATGTGAATGGGAAGAAGCTTTGTTACACATCTAGGTCACGCTACTTTCTGAGTTAAGTTCATACTCAGTGTGTAGAGTGAAGTCCATTTAAAACTACTAAAGTCCAAAAATATTCTTCTGAGTTTAAGTCTAAAATGAGTTTCATTCTGCGCTCTCTCACGTATTTTGATACGCAATGCATGAAGGACTCAAACTCTTACGTTCTTATTCAAGGCCACGTCTACCTGTCAATTCTGATGCCTTCATTTTCATCCACAATCATCTCTGCCTTTTCTGAATTCTTGTTATCCATACCACAGAGTTCAGTGCTTAATTTAAAGGAAATAAAAGATTTGTATATTTATTTAAAAGGAGAGAGAGAGAGAAAGGCAGAGACAGAGAAAGAAAACTGTCCATCTGCTAGTTCACTCCCCAGATGGCTGCAACAGCTGGGAGTTGGACTGTTCCAGAGGTGGGAGCCAGGAGCTTCTTCCAGGTCTTCCACATGGGTGCAGGGGCCCAAGCCCTTGAGCCGTCCTCTGCTGCTTTCCCAGGCCACAACAGGGAGCTTGATCAAAAGTGGAGCAGCCCGGATTCCACTGGCACCCACGTGGGATGCTGGTGTCACAGGCTGTGGCTTTACCAGCTGTTCCACCATGCCAACTTCCAGTGTTTAATTTTGAACCAATACATAAATTGCCAGTAGGGGGTGACTGTTGTGAATACATTTCATTTGCTTAAAGCTATTTTTAAAAAGGAAATTTGTTTTGTTTTTGACAGGGGCTGATAATATCCGGAAATACTGGAGCCGCTACTACCAAGGATCTCAAGGGGTAATATTCGTATTAGATAGCGCCTCTTCAGAGGATGACTTAGAAACTGCCAGAAATGAACTGCACTCAGCTCTCCAGCACCCGCAGTTATGCACTTTACCATTTTTAATATTGGCCAATCATCAAGACAAGCCAGCAGCTCGCTCAATACAAGAGGTATGTCTCATTAGCTACTGTTGTCACTTTTTGTCTACCTTGTTTGTTGGACTTTTGCTGCCACGTGGGAATGTGGAAAGATGCATACAATTAGGGATATTCTAGCATGTTGTTTTCAAGGACACAGAAAACCTTGACCAATCTAAGAAGACTTCTTTACATACTTAACCCTACTTGAAGAGAACAGATTATTTATTTCCTGTTCAGCAAAAGTTAGAGGATGTATCTGGGTATTTTTCTGATCTGTGTTGAAAGGCTAATGGCCTGGTTATTTAACATTTGTTTTCTAACTCGCTGACTTAGTTCATTTTCCTCTAACTTTTCAAGGACTGTGTCGTGTGTGTTACCATGCATCAGTTGCTCTCAAATGCAGGTTCTTGTGTCTCTCATATGCTCACTGTTGGCTAGAGCAGTGGCTCCTTTTCTGTAATCAACCAGACTGAAAATGGATGTCTTCTCTTGTAAGTTCCACGCCACCAAATACATTCTGGTTGGGACCTGCGCTTCATCCTCCTTTCGTTTCTTGGTTTGTATCCCTCCTAATAAAGCATAAGGCTGATTCTGGACAAATAATTAGCATAGCCTCAGCTGAACTGATTTATGGTTCTAAAGTAATGAAATTCTGGAACAGTTTTTAAAACTTAAATTATAATGAATTCTAACCTAAGTACAGGAAATCAAAGCTTTATACCTGTAACTTCAGAAAATTGTGTGCTTCCAGTTGATTTTGGAATAAGATGATTCATTGGAATGACATTGCTCTTTAGTCTGAAAAAGAGTCAAGGAGCCAAGGACATAGCATGGTCTGCCTTCATGTGTGTAACCCAAGGCAGATAGCTTTGTTCCTGTGCCTGGCTTCTCTCCTGTAAAATAGGAATCATGCAGTTTATTTTCATAACGTGGGAGGGATTAATTTGGATAATTTGCTTTGAAGTACTAAGAAGAGGAGCCTATATGTAGAGAGTCTTTATTTAGGTTTTACAAAAATAATAAAGAAGGCAAGGACTTATATTAAACCAACAGTCCATGTCTGTCTTTAGTTGCCTCCAGCATTAAAGATTTCACACCTTTTTCCTTATAGAGTTAGAAAAATACCTTATAAATAATATTAAGTAAAACAAAAAATAACAATAGAAACCAATCCAGAATGGCATTCAGATCTTAAGCATTGTAACTGTGGTGCCTTTCTGATCTGTTCTTGGGACCTTAGATAAATCTTTTAACTTTCAACATGAGATTTCTTGCTTATAAAATGAAAATAATAGTATGTGTTGATGGGTAGCTAGGAGTGTTAGATTATGATTATAAGATACTTTGCTGAAAGTACATTATTACTCTGATATCCATTGTGCAAAATACATATGTGTGTATCACAGACTACAAATAGGCAATAAGTATATAATACATGTTAATATAACATAATATTGGATAGAGAAATATGGCACAAGTACCATTATAACTTCAAATCAATTTATTCAAGTTATTTGTAATATCTGAAAAGAGTTTTTCTTTTCCTTTTTTGCTTTTAAATTTAAGAAATTGTTTATCTGTTTTCCTTAGATTTCAAATAATTGGGCAAATGTATTATTTAAGCCTGATGTGTGACTCATGGTCGTGACTCACCATAGGCATTAAAGATTGTCACATCCTATACAGGAATCTTCCAGCAATTAAAGTCCTCTGCGTATGTCTTGTGTGTGTCAGCTGTCTCTACTAGGACAAGGGTAACTATCCTTCCCCCCTTTTGTGGTTCTTCTTTCACTGAGATGAGCAGCTGTAAATATAATCATAGACATGGTTTGGAAATGATGCTCAATTTGTATATTATGGAGCATATGTGACTCTGATTTTACCTTTTATTAGTATTGACTTTAAGTTGACTTTTCTCAAAAGTTTCGCGTGTAATGGCATTACACTTTGAGGACTATTTTGAAAGTATTTTCTCTATGATTGTATAAACACCTACTGTACAGGTACAATGTATATTATGTATATTATGGAATATAGGGTCAAATTTCAGTATGGCCTTGGAGTTTGTGGATGCATGATGAAATGGTCACGTTTACTTGGGCTTGGCTCGAAAAGAAAGGGAAGCTTCCCTTTTCCCATTTCTTGATGTCAAAGAGACTTCTCTTTAGAGTGGGTTAAAATGCCTTCTTGAAATACTCCCAGAAGTGTTTCAATAATTAAATCAGTACCTTGTTGTGAACATAAAGATGGAGTTGTAGAACTGAATATTAAGTGTTTTACAAACAATAACCTCAGAACGGTTGGGCCAAGCATTGGTAGAAGAGTGAGTAGAAGATTGAAAGTGAGCAAAGTCACCTGTTGCTTGAAATGCAGTTAGAAGTAATCATCTTTTTTTATTCTTTCTTGCATATCTTGGGTCCTTATTGCTTATTAACAGTTTATTCACTTGTACCTGCTAAATTGTGTACACTTTGTAGAATTTCCAAAGATATTGTTCTGTTCTACAAAGTACTTTTGAATTTTAGGCATCATTCTATCCTTTCAGGATCCAGGAAGTTGCATTCAGGTAACCAAAAAGCACTGAATGACTTTAAGAAAAGACAGTGAATGATAAAGATTTATTGATGCATCCCCTTCTCTCGTTGAAATTATTAGATTTTATGCTTCATACATTATACAAAAAATTTGCAATTATTTATTCTGTCACTGGAGTAAAAGTTGAAGAATTTACTTGTTTAATGAAGATCTCAGGATATTGTTGACTTCAGAAATAGAGGGAAGCCAATGACATCCAAAGGAGAAAGCTAAATTATCATTGACATTCCAACATAGGATAAAAATTATCCAGGAGTTCTATTTTTAGTCTTCCTGTTATGAGCATCACCATGTTTGTGTGGAGCACTGCATTAAGAAACAAAGACAATAGTTAAAATCACTGTGTATCCCGCAGACAGGGCAATGTGCCTGGTTGTTTTGCTACTAGCTTTTCAGAAGCAAGCAATCTTGTACATTGCATATTTCCTCCTTTCTGTAATATACTTTGTAATGACCTGTATTTAAGTTACCAGAATGTTGGGATTTTCTATCTTGAGAATTGACAGTGGAAACGTGTATTTTTTAACACATAAGCTGTTTGTTACAAAAAAAAAAGGGGGGGGGGAGCCAAAAAGTAAAACACTGGGAAAAAGAACACCCTTTCTATACTGTCTGAAAGCCAAGCAATTCTTGCAACAGATGTTTGTTGTATTCACTTTGGGGAGGTGTAGTTACCACAGTTTTCCAAAAGTCACTCCTATCAACTATTTTTCTCTATAGAAAGCATACTAGAAAAATCTGTAATTATGTCTAGTGTCTCACTTGATAAGTTAGAGGAAATTCTGGTCTAACTTACTTGAAAAAGCTATGAAATAAAAAATCTTAAGGGTAAACAGGTTTTTTTTTTTTTTAATTTGTATTGAGTTGTAATTGCATCTAATTTGTTTTACAGCTCCCACAGGAGAGCATACTTCAGTTCTGAAGTTATTTAATAGATCAGGAGGCTTTTATGAGAAGTTAAGTTGATAGAGAAGCCAATAAATGTAATCCTATTTTCCCTCTACACTGATTGTGATTCTTGTACCTCCTGGCTTTTTAAAATTTATTTTCATTTTGTTAAGCATTACCATGTCATAAAATAACACATTTTGTTAACATGAAAGAAGTAGTTCATATTTGCAGCACTCTTATCTGATTTCATGTTTATCTGTATCCTTAATTTGGACATTTTCAGAAATAGTGCATCAAAAGCACTGTGTTAACTCTTCTGTTGAATACATTCTGTTAAAGCAACTGTTAGCTGAGAAATAGAAAAACTACAAAACAGATTTTTGAAGTGGAATTGTAAGGTCAAATGACTCTCTTGGTTTCTTGGCTGATCCGCTATAGCAGGAAAATCAGCTTCTAAATTAGAGTGTGAGCATTAAAGTTAAAATTTGTTGATCAGAATCTCTCAATTTTCATGCAGTAATAGTTTGTTAGGTAATGTGTGTAGAACTTGGATTGTATTGAAAAGGAGTGGAATACGAATGAGAGAAGAGTATTTGCAAGCAGATTTGTAGTGATATAAACATGGCTGGTTTTTTAGACCGTGATTTATTTTGGTTATAAGTATGCAAATTCTTTTGAACAATACATTTGATATTCAATGTGTCATGAGTAGTTTTAGTTTTCACATTTTAGTCTGTCAGTGTCTTCTGGAAGAGGGTGCTAATGTGGTCCTATTTAGTTATAATTACTTAAAAATGCATATCTCTACGTTGTAAACTCTCGCCTCCATTTCTTCAGTGTGTGTCACTAAATAATCTTTAGCTTCAATGTTTTATTTATAGTTGAGATCAGTTCTTCTTTGGTAGCTCTGTGAATTGGCCAATACCTTCTCCCATTTTGTGTGACAAACCTCTTATTAGAAAAGGCAAATACTTTTTAAAGCATGTAAAATCCTGAGCTTAATTTACTGTGACTTTCTGTATTTGGAGAGAAATGTATATTTGCACAATGATCATTGGAAAGTGTCATCTACTCTAAATCTTAAAAGTTTCTCGAGTATCTTGACCTGCCTCTTGGCAGCGTTTTAAAATACTGATTTGATTTCATATACAGCAGTGTGCATACCTCTGGTGTGAGCGGTTTGAAAACTCCCTTATGGGACATATACTTATTCTAAAATCATATAAGAAATACAAATTATTTTTCATCCATTCCTTACAGATGTACTCCAAACTGTTAGCACTAAATCTTGGGGAAACAAAGAGAGGAGTTTAGAAGTCAGTTTTCTACTCAATGAGTCCATTATCTCTTTAAAATGTTTTCTAACCTATAAGAAAAGCAGAACTAACAATACATTTGTGATAAAGACTGATAGTATTTTTTAAAGAGCAACTTTTAAGCTGAGAGCACCAGAACAGCCAGACTATTTTGTTTCTCATGCATTCATTCACTTTTTTCTTTTTATATGCAGTCTACATCTAGCCACCCTCATCTTCCCAATCTTC